CCTCGTGCATGATTCCAACCTTTTGGATTAAAGAATGTACAATGTACTAGTATAACACTATCATGCCGGTACATCTTTAACGGTATCTTCCCCGTCCCAAAATATATAGATCTCTAAGTTTGCCAAAGGTTAAATTACCTGAACTTTTACTAAGTTTCTAATAAATAACAATAATGTTTACAACATCAAATGAGTATCATTGGATCCATTACGAACTATATTTGCATAGTTTACTTCTTTGATATGGTAGATATTAATAGTTCTTCCAATAAACTTGGTTAAACTTAAGACAAAACTCGAAAATTATTGTATGCTAGGGAGGATCCGAGCGTCCATGTACAACTCTTCTGGCCTTCTAGAGCGTCATTAAGGCGTGTTGTATTAAATTTTTTCTCTATCTTAATACAAAGACACGCAAACATTTTGCATGACTAAGAAAAAAAATTATCGTACTTCTGGACTAAGTGATTATATTTTTGTAGTTTTGTTGATTTTTTATCCTCTAGGTAGATAAGGTATAAAAATCATAAACCTTTTAAAGGACAAAAAAAACTATGCTAGTACTATTTGAGTTGAGTATGTATAAGACAGTTTCGGAGGACTTAAGGTGCCGCGGAGTCACATCGTCCATCAGCCAACGAACTGTACACCTGCTAAGCATTGTTCATGACTTCACATGATTGTCCGCACAAGTATGGCCTTTGTACAGCACGTTCACAAGTTCCTTTTTACAAAACATGTGCTAACAATATTTTTTTTTCAAAATACAATACGTGCAAACACACACTGACACACACATAAACAATCACGTACACTATTCATGCAAACGTAAATGCATACGCCCTATGTTAACGTGACTGCCACTAAATTAATATCGTTGCTGATTCCTAAAAAAAAAAATAGGAAAACTGGTGCTGAGCCTCTAGCTTGAATCCGGATGAAAGTTCCACCACGACAAAAAATAACCTAACCAATGGACCTACGATCCTCAATTTGTGTTTATAAGTTTATCGGTTTGAATGATTGTATTGAATCCAGTACTTTAGTTCGCATATGAGACTAATTCCATGGAGTTCATCTATCACCTCTCACACAATGCAAGCAGTGAACTGAACAAGATAACCGAGCTACATTTTCGTTATTGGGTTTGGCCCCAGGAGAGATTTTTGCATCGGCGATCATACTGGACCTCTCTGAACATATCGAAGTTACCCATATTCCTTTCAGATCCATCCACATGCTGCATAAGTGCATATGCAGTTTCAGCTTTGTCATGGTAACACTTATTACACTACTGCACCGCAATGCACATGCATTTCATCAATCGCATTGCATGCGGCCGCAGCATATTTATGCACCATGCGGTACTATGAGCAAAGATCGATGTCGATGTGGTAGGACAAGAGCGTAATTACTTACTTCAATTAAAATAGAACAATGCTCATCAGAATAGACTTGTGCACAAGATTATCATAAGGAACACTAGCACAGCGCGAGTATTATTATTGTGTCTAACAAAGCATGAAATTATTACCTAGACCGATCCCTTTGACACCGTGCCGCTCTGAAGGAACAGGTCTATGCAATAATTCCTTTGGTAATCGAAACAAACTCGATCGCGAATGGGAAATCAAGCTACGACGACGACGACTTGAAGGCAACAACGAATTCAGCTCAGCAGCAGCCTGTTCGAATCCGATAGATCAGCTGGATCGCGCGTGGGGTGCAGTGGTTTCACCGGCGCTGACGCGGGCGGCGCTGGTCGCCGTCGTTGAAGTCGAGCAGCACGGCGTTGTGGCACCGGGGGCACCTGGGGTCCTCCCGGGACAGCATCACGTACATCATGCACCGGGGGCACCCGGCCAGGACCATGGGCGCCGCGCCGCCGACGACTGGCGGCGCGGCCGCGTCTGGGCTGCCCTCGGATGACACGCACGAGCTCGGCGGCGACGCGGTGGACGAGGACGAGGAAGACACCCGGCGCGGCGACGTCGTGCTGCCGTTGTTCCGGCTCTCCCCGCCAGGCCGCACCGTCGTCGAAGGCCCGCCCCTCGCCCCCGACAGGCCCATCCTCAGGAATTCCAGCTTCGACGCCTTGCCGTTGTTCCTGCTCATCGTCACCGTACCGCCGGCGACCCGCCGCCGCACAGGGTTCCGATCGCTGAGACGCACGGTTTACACTATGTTCATTAGCGTCACATACAACTCACACGCCCATGCTACAGTACATTTGAACGGAACAACATGCGTTAGGCATTACCTTGGACGAAGTTTGAACGATGTGAGCAGAGAGCGATCAGTAGGCCATGCTGGTGGCTTGGAGCTCTCCACCTGGTTGCGTGCAGCTGTTTCCTATGTGTGAGTGTTTGTCAAGCAGCTCTGATCCTTGTGTTATATAATGATGAGGGAGGGTTGAGGAAGAGGATGATAGGAGGAGCTGGTTTCCTTTAATACAAGGCAGCCACATTTAAACCATGCTCAATTCCCTCCAAGTCTAGATATTGCAGAGGCCAGAGCAGAGGCCGCTACTCTGTTTCTTAATCAGCCAGCACACGAGTTCGCTAGCAGCTCAAAGTAAGGAAAACTATAGGCTAATCCAAGAAGTTTTTCCACGGCTTCTCCTTGCAACCATTAGGGCCTGCTAACCCCGTTTCGATCTTGATGAGCGAAAAATGCATGCCAGCTAGATTCGCAGCTCATCTATACATACACGGGGCTCTACAACGACTGACAGGATCATAGTAACATCTCACATCACTCTCCCAGCTACTGTTCGCACAGTATTCCTACGCACTGGAGAACTACGTGCCGATCGACTGGTACTGAACTGAACACAAAAGCAGCAGACACAAGCGTCGTCGTGCATGTACCTGAACCTGAGACCTGACGTGCCAACGCCCCCCACTGAATCAAACGGCGACCCCGTTCCTAATCCCTAGGCTAGTACTCTGCTTATTACTGCGGCCTGAGCGGATTATCGCGTCCGTGAATGGCGCAGGCACATAAATGAATACTGACTCGCTTGCCACGGCACGAGCAGTAATCGTTAATCAAGCGGCGGGAAAAAAAGACGGAGCCGCGGCATGAGCTGGCCTTTATGCGTGGCCAGAGCCTTTGATTGAATTCCCAGGCAACTTGATGTGGTGGGGTGGAACTGAAACGGCTGACGTACAGTGAACTGTACGCGCAGTCGGTGAGTCCAGTGCACGACCTGGTAAGCACGAAGCCGCAGGCGCCGCAACTGGTTCGAGAGGAATTGCGCGAGGCCTGGAACAACGTACCGTGAGGCACGAACTTAAGTAGCAGTCATGGTGGTCCAAGACCATCCAAATATCCAATCGTGCAGGAGCCGCTATCTAAAGAAACTCTACTTCGTGTAGACGTATACTCATAGGTTCCGTATACTATTCATAGATGCATATATCGTACCTAAAGACGTTAAGAACCATAAACTCGTTTAAGGACAGTCCCAATGCATGGTTTACATTGATAATTTCTAGAGGATAGAAAATGCAATTAGCCAATTACATGTACCCAGAGCTCGTCCCAGAGCAGGAACCAACACCGCCACGCAATCATCTCGCTCGTTCTAGAGCTCGTTCACGCACATCAACTCGTGGTCGCCATTTTGGAATCGAAGTCGTCGAACCGCTTAAGCAATTCGTCGAACATCGTGCGGACGTTGGGATCCATCACCCTTCGCGAGCGCTGCGGCAGGGTAAAGTGATGGTGGTGACACACCGGCTCCAGCCCTCGCCGAAGCTCGACAGATCTGATACCAGTGTTATCTCCGCAAAATTGCGGCGGAGATTGGAAGTGGCGGTGTGAAGAACAGAGAACTGGGAAGAGGAGTAGCGGCCGGTAGAGGTCCGGCTTAGAGTACTATTCTGTTCTCGGTTCAAAAGTTGTTACACACATACACTCTCTTCGTACTTATCCTCCACTCTGTTGGGCTGGGCGGCGCAAATGTTACAGTCCCATTCTGGCCTGGCCACGCGAACGCTCCTGGACCTCTTCCTCATTCCCCTTCTTGGCTTGGTCACGACTTCTGGGTCTCCCAGATGAGGTGTGCTGACATCCTTCCCCCCCTCGATATCCGACATGTCCCCATGCCGGTGCGTTGGGGAAGCTTTGTTGAATGGCGACCACTCTTCCCATGTAGCTAGGCATTCATCGAGGCATGACCACTTGATCAGGAGCTAGGGTATAGAGCCATTGCGACGAGGATGAAGGCAATGGTGTAGAACTTGCTCCGGCACCTACAGAGCATCGTCAGGGTCAGGAAGCTCGGCGGAAATCAGCGGAGCTGTCACAGATGTCAGCTTCAGAAAGCGAGACCTGGAAGACTGGGTGGATGGAGGAAGACAGAGGCAGCGATAGTTTGTAGGCTACATCTCCGATCTTGGCGATGATTTTGAAGGGGCTGAAGTACTTGAAGCAGAGCATGTGGTGGGAGCGTGGCGCCAACGATGACTGGACATAGGGTTGCAGGCAAAGGTCAAGTTCTTTCATATTAGGTTAGATCATGAGTCGAAAATCATGGCCCGAATCCGACTCAGTGCACTGTCGGGGCATATCGTGTTTTTGGGCGGATCAGATTACGTTAGGTGACCCATAAACAGGTCTATTATTATAGACTCATTACTGCTCTACTTAAGTTCTTCGCCCGTCGGCATCCTTGTTTCACGGGCTTTTATGGGGCCAACAAATTATGGGCTTTAGAAGCCTAGCCCGTCATAACATATTCATGGGCTGTAGAAGCCTAGCCCGTTATGAACTCTCGCGGGCCTCGGAGAACGCGAGAAGAATCTAGCAATCTCGTCTCACCTTTTTTTTTTCCAACTCTCCAAGCAAACAAAGAAAAGAATAAGCAAGAAAATAAAAAAGAAAGCTAGGCAGAGAAGAGGAAAAGGAGGAGAGGTGGCCAGGTGGTGGGGGGCGGCGTCGAGACAAAGAGGAAGTAGTGGCCTGGGCGTGCCGGCGCGGAGGAGGGGGCGGTGATGGAGAAGGGCGCGGGCACGCGGCGGCGGCGGCTGGTGGAAAGGGGATCGGATCGCCTCGCCTTCATCACCGGCCAGACGCGCAGCCTCTCCTGCGACCCGATTCCAGGTAACCCGAGGGAAAGAATCCAGCAATCCCCAAATCGCCTTTGCCCTCGGCTCTTGTAATTGTAGCTCCTCTCGTGTCTCAGTCCAGATTCAATTAGACTCCACGTAGTAGTTTAGGGCATTTGAATCTGTCTTCTGGAACTCCAAATTCGTGGGTATGTTGATTAGCAAACGCGTGTGGCCTGGCTTTCAGTTTATGTATGCCCTGCAGAGATCTCCGATCCGTTTGGAATTCTCGAACGAGACATGGTAGCTACTTTAGTTATGATATTTGGAAGCGATGGTAGCCTTAATTACATTTGCATTTTCTGGGATTACTGGATCACGGGTCGGGAGGAAGAAGGTTAAAAGGGAAATTGTGGCTTAGAATGTCGACAGCAGAAATCTGGGAATTTTCCAAAACCCCACTAAATATCAGTCACTGCCATCGATCCCCTGATAGTCAACTTGGTTTGTTGGCCGTTTGACTCATGAGTCATAACAAAATTTATTGGCATTTTGTAGCTGTGCTCCTGTGTATCTTCCGGTTTGCTGCCAAGTTTGTTGATATATCGTGCCACTTCTTTTTGAATGAAACTGGTGGGTTGCCCTGCCCCTGCAGATTATACTAATATATGGAAGTAGTTTGTACAAACAACAAAAAGAAACAAAGGGTAAAAAGGAATAAAACCAGGGTGTTAAGCAATATCTCTTGCCATTCTGTGATCTTGGGGAAATACTTTCGTTTTGCTCTGCCGATAAACAATTTCTGCAACTTGGATGTGTCGGTTAGACTTGGTTGAAAATATAGCTGTTCCTGCATCCAAATTGTCCAACTCACAAGGATAATGAACGAATGATGAAAGGCACTGACAAAGATACTTTGAAGTCCTCTAGCAGGGCAAAAGTTTTGGTAATTTCGTGCCACCTTATTCTGAAGCAAGTTGTCATTGCATTGCTGTGAACCGTTTACTTCTCTATTCAATGAAATTGGCACCCGTACCGGTTCGTTCAATTTTTTTTTCCTGTCAAGCATTTGCCTAGCCATTAGACTGCTTATTACATGGTGAGAGGTCAGTTCATCATATCAAGAAGCATGTGGAAATTTAGCAGAAAATTATTTTATCATATCATTACAGAAGCTGCACCGCGAGCACCTCCAACCAAGTAATCTCAGTCTGCACTGCACAAAACAGTCCATCTTTGACTACCGCTCATGTTCAGTCACAGCTGGAGCTGCATTATGGACTCACAGTTTGCTATTTTTTTTTAATTATTAGAAGTTCTCATGGGTGATATGCTTTGGCTAATCTCCTTTTTTCAGAAACTTCTGTGCAGAAAGAACATCATGATGTATTTAGATGTCTAAAAGCCTTTGTGAGAAACATATGAAATTGAGCAAACTTTTGATGTATATTATTTTGGATCAGATGATGCATAGCTTGAAAATCTGTCTAGTTGTGTCAGCACATTGAGTGACAATGAAGTCTGACATATGCTTGTTGGGAAATTGCCACAAAGAAAATAAGGCAAGGTGATATTCCTCATGGCTGCCTGTATTGCCCCAGGGATTTATGTAAGTTATTAGGTAGTCATTTCGGGAGTGTTGACACTTGATAGCTTCCATTTTGATCAGCCACTCTGGGTTTTACCTGGTACATATAAATTCCAAACATGGACATCCTTTACTGATTAGATAATTTTCTCTTGATTTTCCCTGTCCATTCTTGTAATATGCCTATCATGACATAACTTGTCACCTGTATGTATCCATGTTTCAGTTGCCCTAAAATTTCTTTGTTTATCATGTTCTTGAGAGCGATGAAATTAATCATATTACTGGAGTGCCAAGTAAATATTGATGGCTGATTAGAATTGTATGCTGTTCTGCAGATTCACTGCTTCGTTCAGAGTTTGAGGGTGGCACTGATGATGGGAAGTTCAGCGAGAGAAATCAGTCGCAAAAGTCAGAACCTAGCGACCTGGTACCTGAATTTCAACGTCCTGGTATTCGCCAAGGAGTTAAGGCTAGAACCTTAAGCTATGATGATCTGGTACCTGAATTTCAACGAGCTGATGGTCGCCGAGAAATCAAGGCTAGTACGTTGAGCTATGAAGATGAACTTTTCCGCAAATTTAAAACGGGCAGTGCAGTCCCTGAAATTCAGCCAGTAAATCAAACGCCATTGCCTACTCATGATCAGGAAACTGTTAGTAAGAATACAAGCCATGATGGAGTTAGTAAGAATACAAGTCATGTTGGTGTTAGTAAGAATACTAGTCATGATGGAGTTAGTAAGAATAGTAGTCATGATGGAGTGGCAAGTGTCCAACCTAGCAGAGAAGTGGAAATGAGACCCAGATCTGCACCTCCAAGCCAGTCGAGCCAAGCGGACAATTCAGGTTGGTCTGTGGAAACTCTGAAGGAACTTTTAGACTTCACGCCACAGGAGATAACCAAGGCCATATCCGCGACTGAGACTAACCGTTTCTTAGCATCTGTCGCCATTGCTTTCCTGGTGGTTCTTTCAAACTGGGGCCTGGACATTGGTGGCGCCATCACCAGAGTATTAGTTGGTACAAGGCCACTTCTATTTCTCATTATAACCAACATCACCATTGTCTTCAAATTGTTGATGGAGAACAAGGACCCCAATGTGAGAAGCAGACCGATTGGCGCCAATCTGGGTTCTGCTGATAGCTTAGGGCAGATGCTAGAGATCGGGTTGCTGCTACAGAAAGCCCTAGGTGCTCTGCTGATTGACTGCAGCGTTTGCGCTGTTATTATGATCTGTTTTCTTGGATTCTGAGGGGCCTAGGTAGAAGGATCACAGAAACCTTTGTAATTTTTTTTGTCACATGCTCTGTATTGCATCGTTCTGCCACTGTTCTTCAATTTTGTAGCATCTCATTTTGGCTGAGTTTTAATTTTTGTATACTCCTGTTTTCTGTTTTCTGAGCGTCTGTAGTTAATTAGAGATTACTTGAACCAGGTCAATGGGATACAGACTACAGAGTGAGTGTTTTTGGTGACCTTGTATCTTGATTATTATGACGAAACAGTCACTTATACAGCATTTTTTACCAACAAAGAAGAGATTACCAACTGTGTGCCTAGTCTCTATGTTCCAATTTTTTTGCACGCCTGCATAAATTTATTCTGCAAGCTTGTGGCATAAGTTATTTTCTCTGCAAGCTTGCGACTTTAAGTTGTCGAGCATGAATGGATGATCAACCTGTTCGGGAGGCCGTATCGTATCGTGGATTATTTACTGTTGGCTGGTTTTGTGTGAGAGAAAAACACTGTTTCCGGTTAGAAATTTACGATCGTTTATGAGCAAGTGAGGATGACAAAGAAGCTTGCGAACAGGCTGGATGAGGATGACAAAGAAGCTTTTGCTACTTGTGAAGTTGTGATGTACTAGGTTCAGTGCATGGCGGTGGGCTTAAGACAAAATAGAAGCACGGGCGTTGGCCGTTGGGCATTGACAAGTGTCGTGAAATAGCTAACCACGTGCCGCTCAAGCCCTGGAGCCCCGCCGCCCGTCTCGTCGTCATCGACCGAGCTACCGCGGGCTCCAAGCACTAGTGACACATGTTGGCCACCTGCGTATGCATCGCCTGTTTCCTTTGGAAGGAACGCCCCCAGACAACAACTGTGAAAGTTTATCCAGTCCACCTTCGACACCGCACGCCGGCATATATATAAAACTATAATAAAAGCACCATCGATAAAACCATATACTAACAGTGACTCGTGCATTGATCTGCATCCGCCTAAACTCGACACGACGTTGCCACGTCAGACTCCATTGGATGTTTCAACTCCTAATTCTATTTTACCTGACTACGAGTAAGCCTAAACCATGTGCTAGCAGCTCACTGGAACTCCCTGCCTCTGTTTCTCAGATCGTCCAGTCGTCAGCAGCAAAGCATAGACCCATGGCACCTAGCTAAGGATTTAGGGCCGTGTTTAGATTGCAAATTTTTATAATCCAGACACTGTAGCACGTTTCATTTGTATTTAACAAACTTTGTCCAATCATGAACTAACTAGGCTCAAAAGATTCGTCTCGTGATTTACAACCAAACTGTACAATTAATTATTATTTTTACCTACATTTAATGCTCTATGCATGTGTCTAAAAATTGATGTGACGAAGAGAGAGTAAAAAACTTAAAATTTTGATGGGATCTAAACAACGCCTAGCTCTAATTTAAGATTAGTATAAACAACTAGCTGCGTAATATACATGTCATGGAACTAGTGCTCCTACTTGGCTACTTGTTTCTTCTATTCTGATCCTGAGATGAGTGGCTGTCGCGATTTGATCAAAGCAGGGCCGGGAGCGCGCGTCGCCGTCGGCGGCCAGGTCAAGGGGTGGTGATGTCGTGGATGCTTTTGCGCTTGGAGTCCCGGCTGGCCGGGTTGAGCTGCCGGTTGAAGTACTTCTGCGCGTGGCTGGCCACCTGCGTCGGCGTCCGCGTCCGCACCGAGAAGCGCGAGATGTTACGCCAGTCCCCGCGGCCGTACTTCTCCAGCCCTTGAAGAAACAGCCTGCAAAGACGCAACGTAAAGCAGCGAAAAAGACGCGTTAATTTTCAACAAGGAGGAAAAAAACTGGCTGCGACGTGTGGCTGGCGACTGGGACCCACGCGCCAGCTGGGAAGAACTCCTAGGCTTCTCCGCTCGACAAGCCAATGCGGGAAGGTGATGTCTAGAATACCCTAAAATCAATTCCATGGAACCACGCCTCGCCGCGGACGAGATGAGATCGGAACTCGGAAGTAATTACCTGTGCTCTTCCTCGCTCCAGGGTATCCCGGGGCGCCGGCCCTCGCGGCGCGCCCGGTCAGTAGCGCCGGCGCGGCGGCCGGGCCCGCCCTGGACTTGGTCGGCGTCGTCGTCGTCCCAGCAGCTGGGCACATCGACCGCGCCGCGCTCGATGAGGTCGACGTCGGCGACGAGCGCCTCGTAGTGCTCCCAGGCCTCCCGCGGCGTGCGGCCGGGGAGCTGCGCCGCGACGAGCGCCCAGCGGTCGGGCGCGTGCTCGGGCCACATCACCAGCGCGGTCTCGAACACCTTGTCCTCCGCCTTGCTCCATGGCCGCGCAGCCGCGGCCGCCACCGTCGGCCGCCCCGCCGCCTGGATGATGCTGCTGCTGTGGTAGCGGTGGTGGAACTCCATGCCCCGTCGACTCAACTCACCTCCTCTGCTCGACACGATCGCTGTGTTGCGTTGCGTGCGTGGTGTTGTTGCTGGCTCGTTGTGGTTGTGGACGGACGGACGGACGGACGGATGATGGGTCGGCAGTATGGATGGAAAACGGTACGGATATTTATTCGATCGTCCGTTCGATCGAACAAATATGAACACTTATCTAGATAGTTATTTGGATATCCGGGTTTTTTTCGGATACGGATACTAAAACGGATATCTTAGGCGGATATCAAATACGGATGTAATATCATCGATATCCGGCGGATATCAGATAATCCGGGTAAGTATCGGATATATCCGGATATTTAAAAACGGATATTATCCGGATATTTATTTAAAATTTAAAAATCACAAATTTGAACCATCCAAACTATCTCAAATGGAAAGTTGACCAAAACAAGAATTGTAGATCTTGATGAGTTGAACAAACTTGGTATTCAAAACTTTTCAATTTGAAGTCATTTAGAGTTCATAATACTAGAGTCAAAGTGTTGTTTTTTCATTTGACCAGATTTGACTTGGTCAAACTTGCTCAAATGAGACACTAAATGACCTCAGATGAAAAAACTCTGAATACCAAGTTTGATCATCTCAGCAAGATCTACAATTGTTACATAGCTCATTTTCCCATTTGAGAAATTTTTATCAAACACTAGTCATAAATTCTTGAATCTCATATAGACTTTCTGAAACTATGTCACACACTTGTGAAATTTGAATTATATTTTGTTCAAACTTTCTCAAATGAAAAAATGGCCTATATAAGGATTGTATGTCTTGATGAGATGAACAAATTTGGTATTCAAAATTTTTCAATTTGAGACAATCTAGGGTTTCGAAAACTAGTTTGTAAACGTCGAAATTTAAAAATCACAAATTTGAACCGTCCAAACTATCTCAAATGGAAAGTTGACCAAAACAAAAATTGTAGATCTTGATGAGTTGAACAAACTTGGTATTCAAAACTTTTCAATTTGAAGTCATTTAGAGTTCATAATACTAGAGTCAAAGTGTTGTTTTTTTCATTTGACCAAATTTGACTTGGTCAAACTTGCTCAAATGAGACACTAAATGACCTCAGATGAAAAAACTCTGAATACCAAGTTTGATCATCTCAGCAAGATATACAATTGTTACATAGCTCATTTTCCCATTTGAGAAAGTTTTATCAAACACTAGTCACAAATTCTTGAATCTCATATAGACTTTCTGAAACTATGTCACACACTTGTGAAATTTGAACTACATTTTGTTCAAACTTTCTCAAATGAAAAAATAGACTATATAAGGATTGTAGATCTTGATGAGCTGAACAAACTTGGTATTCAAAACTTTTCAATTTGAGACAATCTAGGGTTCCGAAAACTAGTTTGTAAGCATCGAAATTTAAAAATCACTAATTTGAACCGTCCAAACTATCTCGAATGGAAAGTTGACCAAAACAAGAATTATAGATCTTGATGAGTTGAACAAACTTGGTATTCAAAACTTTTCAATTTGAAGTCGTTTAGAGTTCATAATATTAGAGTCAAAGTGTTGTTTTTTCATTTGACCAAATTTGACTTGGTCAAACTTGCTCAAATGAGACACTAAATGACTTCAGATGAAAAAACTCTGAATACCAAGTTTGATCATCTCAGCAAGATATACAATTGTTACATAGCTCATTTTCCCATTTGAGAAAGTTTTATCAAACACTAGTCACAAATTCTTAAATCTCATACAGAGCTTTCTAAAACTATGTCACACACTTGTGAAATTTGAACTACATTTTGTTCAAACTTTCTCAAAATGAAAAAATGGCCTATATAAGGATTGTAGATCTTGAATCCATGACCATGACTCCATAAGACCCATGAAGCAATGTGCTTGGCTATTTCTACTCATGCCGCGAAGATTGGTGCTTATATAATGTTTGATGTATGATGTATCTGTATCTTTATTTTATTTGTTGCTTTACTCTTTAGTCTTTCGGCTTAATCTAGATGGATTATGGACTCATAGAGTGGTGTAATGGTTTGCGCACGTATGATATATATATATATACTGCTTTTACTCAATATCCGAATAGATATTTGTATCTGACCTTCTCCGAATCCGATTCATACCGTATTCAATACTCATTATTCGTATCCGTAACCGAGTCAATCCGTATTCGTATATGTATCCGAACGCTATCTGTGTCCGAATCCGGATTCGAACAGAAATATAAAAACAAATATAATATGAGTGATATCCGTTCGTATCCGATGCGTTTTCATCCCTAGTCGGCAGCGCCGTGTGCCGTTGGTTTTCTCCGCGTGGGAACGGGATTCGGGTAGTGTGGGCCGGTGAGGTGAACGGAACCGTACACGGGACCTGGGGGGCTTGGGGGTACCCGTTTGGGTTTGTTGGGTGCGGCCACACGTTTTGGGCGTGCGCGCGGGGTGGGGGCCGGGTCCGGTGCTGGTTCGGTGGACACGTGTTGCGCTGCTGCGCGCGGGTGCGGCCACGGCGGTGAACGCGAGTGAACAGACGTCGGGCGGGGCTTACGCCTGGACGGTTCGCGCTTTGCGGGTCCTCGGTTTTTCTTCTCCCGTGGATTTCGGGTGGACCCATTTTTCCGCCTCCGCCTGGGTTTCAGTCGTTTGTTTTTTCGTTCGCGGTTCTGCGTGGAAAGTTTTTTTTTTAACTTGTGGAAAGTTTGTTGGTCTTGTTCAAGTCAACGGGTTGCCTTTTGTCCGGTGGCCCCCGGAAGTTGGCCCCCTTGGCAAGTTGAACTGCATCGGCAATTTCTTTTTCTTTTTTTGAGAGGGGAGCATCGGCAATTCCTATATTCCTTTCATATGTACATCGAGCATCGGCAATAATAACAAAAACATCTGCTCAGCCCTTGGGCCGGCCTCACGGCGTAGACCGGTTTTCTCTCTAATTCAAGAAGTGGACCACCAACGGAGTGGCCCACGGCCTGGCCGTAACGTTGCTAGTTTTTGACATCGTGTAGTACAAAATTGACTCCAAACTTCATAGTGTCAATGATTCAGAACCATGGCTTACTTGGCAATTGAAACTCGAAATTGCACGATCCAGGACCGAGCTTGACACCAGCCAGTTGACGATCGAACATGCTCTAATCACATCTACGCACACATTTAAGTATGCGTTTGGTAGGAATTCAAATTCTCCCACGGACATTTCACATCTTACTTCTCATTGGAAACAATATTTTACTAAAAAAATCAATTAGCAAAAATCAGGGTAACCATATGGCTAACGATCCCAACCCACCTATGAATAAGCATTTGATGATTCGCTTTCCTTATTCCGGCGAGTTCTCGCAAAGTTCTTTTTTTTCGCGATCGGGCCATTCACCCGTATTTCATTAAGAGGTAAAAGTTACAAGGAACAACTTAGTCAAATCTCGATGGTGAGTAGCCATCAAGGTTGACTAGAACCCGCACGTTAGGGATTACATTGCAGCTAAGTTTTGCGACCAAAGCGGGCAAAACACTGAACGTGTCTTAAATCCTGCCTGCACCCAATCATCCACCTCGCGAACCACCTTCAGGTATAGCTCCTGCGCCCCAGATGCCGTCCGCGAGAACATCATGTTGTTCCTCTCCTTCTAGAGGATCCAAGAGGTGAGCAGCACTAGGGAATCGAAGGCCGGTCGCAGCGCAACCTCCAGCCGTAGCCGCTGACGAAGCCACCACGACGCTAGTTCCTCCATGGTCGCCGGAACAAGCGTCGTCAGTCCAACGGGTGCCAACAGGGAGAACCAGAGCTGTCTGGCAAGGACGCACCTAACGAACAGATGATCACCAGTCTCTGGTTCTTGGCCGCAAAGGATGCAGGCATCATCATCCTGCAGCCCATGTCTTCTGCGTCGTTCCGCGGTCCATAGGCGGTGATGCAGCACCAACCAGAAGAAGAACTTCACGCGCGGCGGTGCTTTGGTCTTCCACAGTTCGTTGGCTCCCAACAACGACGATGAGCCGGCGAAGAAGGTTTGGTACGCGGACGATGCGGAGTACCTTCCATCCGCAGTCCAACGCCAAACAAAGCGATCCTCCTGCAACGGATGGAGAACGATGTCGCAAAGAATGCCCCACACCCAAAGGTACTGACAGAGTACTTGGGTGGTTGGCGCGCCGACGATATCCCGTGCCCAACGGTTCTGGAAGATGCCATCTTTGAGCGATCTTTTCTTACCCCTCTCGAAATAGTTCTCGCAGAGTTCGTTTCGGTAGCATCCTGATCAACTGGGTACGGTCTGTTTCCTGTGCCACGCTTTTTTGTGCTCACATCTTGTTGTTGGCCGCGGTCATGCCAATTTCTTCGAAGGCAGCAATCCGAGTGGAGTGGACCAGCGAAGGACGATGGGATGCCTAGCGGGCTACATGCCATTCGCTCGACGAATCCGCCAGCCGTCACCTTTTCTGCCCCTTTTTAACACTTAAGCTATCCATTGCCCGTGTGATTCTGTGCTTTGCGTCACATGATTTTTTTACGTCGTCTGCCCCGTCGCTTTTTCATTTCCCCTTTGCGTTTTGCTCTCTGACCCGCGTGGCCCACAAGTTAGCTCTTTTTTTTTTTTGAAACGCGCGCCTTTATTGTCCTGTTCGCTTGGCCGATAAGATATGGCTGAAAGTATTATCGGCTGATTTGTTGTGAGAGAAAAATACTCGCTCTGTTCGCTCGGTTTATAAGCCGTGCTTTTTCAACCAACGAATAATATTTTTTCTCATAACAAATCAGCTAACAGTGCTTTCAGCTATGACTTATCGACCAAATAAATAGGACAACCGTTCGTTGACTAAAAAAGCCAAATGAACTGGACGTATCTCTTTTGAACTGTTTATTTCCTTTCTCCATTTCATTTCGTCTCCCCTGGTTCTGGTGGCAGAGCTGAGACGGAGCCCTAGGCGGAGGGGCTCTCCGCCGACGATTCGTCATCGTTTGTGAGTTTTATTTACAGGTTTTGATTC